TTTACAGTCGCATTACCAAAAAAAGAGTCAGAATGATTTCGATGAGTGTGGTTCATGGAATGACGTATCCGCAATCAAACCAAAATTTTTTTTACTTAATCCAGTCGATTTATTTACAAAGTTTCTTGATTTGAAGGTTGTGATCTCTATGTATGAAAAGTTAGTTGTCTTCTCCTTTTTTTTTTTACCCTTTTCAGGACACCTGTTCTCTTAGTACAGTAAATTTAGCGAGATCAGAACATGCTCCGGATTTTAGTATATTTATAATTTATGTTGCAAAATAATTGAATTGTATTATTTCTTTGTAAAGTTATTAACTTATTACTACAATATAGATTATTTTTGTACAACATAAGGAGTATGGTTAAAAAGAAAAATGATTCATGATTCATTAGTGCTAATATAGTACTAACTATAGGTAATGTTACAATAACATGAAGTATAATTCTTGAGTACCAAAGTTTAAAAGTTTTAAAAACGAAAAAAAAATAATTTATTTATGTACTAAATTTGAATATCATTCACATAATTCGCTGTATCTAAATGTTATTATCATTATAATTACTGCAACAATATGGAGTCAGAATGCCTAAGTTTAATCTCAATCTCCTATTACTACATTTTTCAAATCCCATTAACCATTCCAGCATTTATCCTCACAATGTCCTTTGCAGCACGTACCATGATAATAATAATCCCGTCATATGACTAAAATCTAGTTGAAGCAGGCAATATCAATGTATGACTAATTATTTAAACACGTTCGATCTCTTTGGTGTATATAGGAAACAATTTCGATAAATCAAATCACATTGCATGTCTTATGCTTTATTTTAATACTCTTTCCATCCAAAAATAATTGTTTAGTTTGAATTTTTTCCTAGAGCAAAATATTATTATAAGTGAAATGATAATGTTTGGAAGAAAAAAAAAAACCCCGTATGTTAATTTAGAATAGTCTGTGAAGATAGTTTCTTATTTCAAACTTGTGAGATCTGTAAGTTAATTAGGAAACAATAATGTTATCTGTTATGTAGTTTTTCATTTTTTCCAAGTATAGAAAATGAGGGAAAAGAGAAAGAGTTTGTAACAGAAAGAAATATTGAGAGAATACCTTAATTACATGTTTCCGAACAAAGTCTTGATCAAAAGTCTTTACTCTTTTGAGGGTCAAACTTATATTAATCTCAATGCTGCGACTAGTATGTTCTTGTACGATTTTCGTTTGACACTAAGAAGTGTCCTTACAAAAATTTTACATCCCCATTCCACTTACGGTTCGATGAAAAATTAGTATGGAAGGAATTGTAAACACAGAGATTGCAAAATTATCCCAGGTTACTATGGACAAATGACATTCAGTTTGCATAATTATCAATTGTTTGTTTCCTAGCAAGTACGCCCTCCGTCACTTATTATAAGGTATTTTGATTTTGTCTTAGGTTTCACCTATGATGTGTTTTCAATTAAAAAAAAATCTTAAAAATATATTTTCACATTCGTCGTATTCTCCTAATTATTAAAAAATATTTTTAAGGTTTTTATTTTAATTAAAAAGATATCTTAGGTGAAATTTAGGATAAATTTGGGATAAATCAATATGCCTTATATAATAAGGACCGGAGGAGTACTACATTCAGTTTGCAACATAGTTTGCAAACTCGCGATCCTCGATCGTTGGATCGTTCGATCCTACGATTCCAATCGTATTTACCTAAATCAATTCTAGATCGATCAAACTCGAATTTTACAGTGGGATCGGAGTGGGATCGGTCAGGATCGGTTCGAGTTTACTCTTCATTAATTACAAAAAATTAATTGAGCTTATTAAATTTTTTCTATTTTCTTATTTCTTTTTGTCTACGTTCAATTGAGGCTAATATTCATTGAGAAAATTTTTATTGCTAAGAAAAATATATTTTAGAAAGTTTTTCTAATAAAATGAAAAGAATAACTATAAGAGAAAAGTTTTCATTAAAAAGTTATGAAAAAATTCACATACGAAAATTAAATTTACACAATTCTTTTCGTTTAAATGTTAAATACTTTATTTAAAGATAATTAAAATCTAATTATTAAATTAATTAATTATATAACATGTATAATTAATTTTACGATCCTATTATTGCGATTCTACCGATCTCGTTTACGATCCGATCTTATGATCCCATTTCGATTGTACGTGATCCTACAAACATTGGTTTGCATATATATATTGTAACATTTCAGTCGCCCAGGGCATAAGCTCATTGTTGAAACATCGATGAAAGGGATAAGTTATAGGAGGTAATGATATCTAAAAAAAATAATTCTAAATTTAGTTATTAGCCAATTCTTAAAATAAAATAAGGTGCGATTAATGGTTTGGTAGTAGAAGACGAAATCAATTTTAGTCACATATGATAAGCTCTCGACAAGAAAGATGATCTTCTTATTGCGTGGGTTGATAGACTTTGTATTCACTGGATGCCGATGAAAAATATTAAATAAAGTACTGTACAAGAATGAATTCGCCGATAAAGAGTCGACGGATAAACGATTGTTAGGAATATAGTCAGATTTTTAGAATTGACTAATAAAGCACGATCTACACTCCCTCCGTCTCATAATTATGATCCAGTTTATGTTTTCATTTCTAGTTTAAATTATATTAAAAGTGAAATCTCAAACTGGATAATAATATTGGGACGGAGGGACTAAATCTCTTTGTGATCTGTCTTCCTCAAATGTGTAATCAACGGTGTAATACCTTTAAGTCGTTTAAAAGTAATTCGGAGATGATAATAATAATAATAATGGAATCTTGTTGCCAGCTCATGCATGGTAACATTGAATTTAATCATAACTCCAACGTCAACCAATCAACTACCGAAACCGTATCACACATTTACTCCTCGATCTGGTCATCAAACACATCCTAGTTATGAGTCCTTTGGTTACCACATTATATAATGAGCGAATTTTGCCTTTGCATGGGGATGGATACATGAGTCTATTTACAACACTTTTTTCTCTTCTCATCAATTCTATTCCCACTATTGAGTATTGATATTCAACCCTCATTTCGTCACCTAGAAACAAAACAACAAAACCCAATCAGAGTATCAACTACGAAGTGAATATACAAAATTGTTGTGAAAATGAGAGTAGAAGATCAGATCTTGAACTATTTGTCCCACTGGAAATTTTGAAGCATAGAAGAATAAAGCGCGCTGTTAAGATCAGCCGAGAAGATGGTTACCCAGTCTAAGAATATTGGAGATTGGAGACTGGATCGATCCGGGTTCATATCAGTTTTTCAATGTTGTGGTTTTACAAGCTTTCTAGAATTCCTTGCTATGTCTCTTGCACTTAGTTTGGCAATAACAGCCTGCAAATTGAACATACGGCGGTTTATATGCCATCTACGCCAGTGACTCGTTGAGTGCCCCCGAGGAACCAGCGGGGGAAACAAGAGAAAGAGAAAAATGAGGCTAATGAAAGAAAAAAACTGGGTGTTTTATCCGTCTCAAAGTGATAGTATTTGAAAGAAACCAATTTTAGTTTCTTTAGTCAGTATATTAAGGCTACTATGTCGATTTGAAGGTTCTAAAATCTATGTACAAGAATAGTTTGTTTCTTTTACTCTCTCCGTTTTTGTTTTTTTTTTTCCGTCTTCAACACACTTATAGATCTGTTGTCAAGAAGTAAGGTGATGAAATCCTATTCAATTGAGGACAGCGAAAATCTTAACCAGATTGTGAGGACTCCTTATATTAGATTGCTAACGGATAAAATAATACTCCCTCTAATCCGATTCACCAGACCAATTTAGGCAAATATGCAAAAGAAAAATAAAGGTAATATAGTTTAAACTGTTAGTTTTGTTTAATTCACTTAATATCCCTTATTAATGATTAATGATTGCTAGTTAATATGGTAAGATTGGAAGTTAAGATTCAATTACATGTTCTAATTTCAGTACTAGGGTATATTAGAGAATTTATATATAAAACAAATTTTAAAAATCTGAAATGGGGCTGCATTTCGTAAAATCCTAAACAAGACTAAACAAACAACTTGTTTTCGGATAATTAGGATATTAACTTTATTATTGAAATAGTGAAGGAAAATATGTGTATAGAGTAGCTTTGACTAAATAAATAAAGAACCATAATATGAGATGGCGAATAACTCACAATGAGTTTGGGCCTTTACAATGGCCAATAACCATCCATCTTGATTTCCTCAAACCTCAACAACATGCCTGTACTTCGAGTAGGCCACGGTATTTTTTTTTTTTTTTTCAGATTTTGGCTAATGCATACATTTGAGTAATTTCTCTTACACTCTCTCAACCACTCTCTCTAAAACACTCTCGAAAACACTCTCTAAATTCTCCTAAGGCCGACGAACCTTAGGTCCTATACCACCGATTAAACATCCTCAAAAGCCCTTCTTTGCTCAGATTTTAGGATCTGGGACAAACCCAAAACCCATCCATGAATTTTCAACCAAAAAATCTCATTCACCTGTAATAAACTCAGAACTAACTTTCTTTAAAGTTTCTTCTTACGAAAGAAGAGGATGATCAATTGACTGACCCTTTCCGCCTAGCTCTTGTCAAAAAATTCACCAAAGGCCAGCCGAAAATGGAGTTTTTGCGAAGAGAATTCCAGACTATTAGCTTCAAAGGAAACTTCTCCCTTGGCTCGATTGACTATCGACATATCCTGATATGCTTTGATTTAGAAGAGGATTTTCAACGCTGCTGGCTTAATGGTCTATGGACTTTTGACACGCACGCATTGGATGAGAGTCTTAAAGTGGACCCATGAAAGCTCTATTGTCCCACCGACTTCAATCCCACCCATGAAAGCTCTATTGTCCCAGTTTGGATCTCTCTGGAACTCTCTGGAAGGTCTCCCCATTCATTGTTGAATCGTTTCAACAAGGATTATTTGTGGAAATTAGCTAGCATCATTCGAACACCCCTCCAAATTGATGTCCCAACTCTCAACATGTCACTCCCATCTGTGGCGCGAATCTGTGTAAAATTGGATCTTCTCAAGGAGCATTCTATTCGAATCAGGCTGGGCGTTGAAGGTGCGACTTATTTTCAATCTATTTTTTACGAAAATATGCCACTGTATTGTGTTCAATGCTAGAAGATTGGACACGATTTTCATTCCTCTCGTCACAATTCAAAAGCTTCATCTACGCAAGGGCTTCAACAACAAAAACATCAATCAAAAGATAAACAACCAGTAGAGCAAGATTTGCACAACTCGGATTTGCACAACTCGGCGCTGAAAACAGGTGAAAAACCTTCGGAAACTCAAATTCTGGAGGAAAATCCGCCCTTACCTGATGTTGCGCCGGTCAATCCTGTTGCAAACCCGGTTGTGCAGGTTATCCCTGAAGTTGCGCAGGTCACTGGAATTGAGCCGGTCAACGCTGAAGAAGATCATCCTCTGGAAGGTTGCCTAGCCATGGTTGTCGCGAAGGTTGCTTCGAAAGCTGCTTCCCCAGCAAAGTCTGATCAGCGGGTAGCTATCTCCCCAGCGAAGGCTGCTGATCAACAAGTCTCACGGTCGATCACAGAATCATCCGCGGCCAGCAAGGGCAGGGAATCATCGCCGATGGCTTCAATTGCAGAGCATCAACCCCGAGCGAGCCAAACCCTCGCTGTGCATCAAATTGATGCTACCGGCGGTGATCCGCAGGCATCAGCTGCTACCGATGCAATGGAGTATTTCCGACTATGACGATAATTATCTGGTTTAAAACGTTTTTTTATGGTTTCCTTTCGCGCGTTCATTGGACAAGAAATTGATCGATGTTGTTCAAAGAAGAAAAAGAAACTCTGGGATGTGATGATGTGAATATATGACGTGAAGACGGATTATGAAAAGTTGAAATGTATATCTATTGCAGAGGAGCAATTATTGGCAGAATAAAGATGAAGAAGTTGCCTCGGGAGACAAATCACAATGACCAAAATATTCTTTTGTTCATCGTTTGTTGAGATCCGGGTAGATTGACAATAAAAACTGATCCATTGAAAGATTCCACTTAATCCATTTGTAAAGATAATCATGGTATACAAATTTTCAAGTAGATTGTAGGAATAAAATAAGTGTTTCACATATCAGAAAAATAATTGTCCATTTTAAATTTTTACCTTTATTACTTGAATAATTATTTGGAGAAGAGATAATAATGTGTACACACCATAGTTATCAAATCGTGGTACGTATCGTATATCGGAAATCTAAATTTATGATACGCATATCGTATCGTGTATCGTATCTTAAGATACGTTTTAATATAATATATATATATATATATAGAATAAATAATAAATATCATAAACTCCATATGTAATTGATATATTTATATATATTTTTATGTTTCAGTTATAAACAATAAATTGATTAAGTTGAATTACAGATTATTTGAAAGTTCCACAAACTACTCATTTATTAAATGAATAATGGTCGTAAAACATATGTGATAAATACTATTTTTCATATTATTATAGCCATAATTTTAATAATGAGAAAATTAATACAAATATGTATTGCATTCATTTACATGTTATTAGTTGTACTTGATTTAAAGGATATTATGAATAAAATAATATTTTAATTATTTTATTTTTTAAAAGTAAATAATTTATTAAGCAATTTTATCGTCAATTGAGAATGAATATGTTTCTCAAAGAAATAAATAAAAAAATATCTATTTAAGACAAATTATAAATGAAATTCATACTTAATTTGAAATTTAATGGTTATTATGAAACAACAATTTGAATTCTTTTAAGAAAAATATTATTTTTTGCCTATGTTTTTTGTATCGTACGATACACAATCATATCGTATGTATCGTACGATACGTATCGATAATTGACTGATACACAAAGAATTACGATACATACCATGATACGTATCGAAATCCTTGATTTTGACACGTATCGGGTATCGTACGATACTTATTATTATGGTACACACATTTTCGACGCCAGGTATTCTAGTCTTAACACAGTAGCATAGCTGCATTGGTAAAAATTAAAATGTTTCACTAAGTATCAAGAGCAAAGCGAAGAAAATTCATTTACTTTAGGAGGTATATCCAATTTGTTTATCTACTGCACTTAATTGGTGGAGATTTACATTTGATCAATTAATGCACCTAGTACGTACGTATAGCTTTTAAGTGGTTTCATTAGAACTAAAACCTGATCAACCACTTGAGACGTACCTTATTGTTCCCTAAGTCAGCAGACTTAATAATAGGTCATTCTTTTTCCTTTTTTTCTTTTTTCAAAAACCATGTGTAATTTTCCTCAAATACAAAAAAAAAAATAAAATTATTTTAAAGTGTAGGCTATGACAATTGTTAGAAAATCAGACAATGTTATCATATTTTATGGTGATTATGTTTACAAAATTTGTTTATCTACTGCACTCAAAATATCTTCATGGAGATTTATGTTTGATTTGATCTATTGCACCTAGCAATTATAATCTACGGATCCTAAGTACACATAGTAAGATGTACCTAGTGTGAGTCTCACGCGACCCAAAATTGGGGATCTCTCAATATTTACAGTAATCCCGTTTAATTCTCCATTTTATGGAATTTTTAGAATTTCAAATCCCACCATTTCCTCCTAATTTTCAGCCATTAACCATATTCATCTTCCACCCCATTCATCACAATCCGTCTCAAACAAAAAAAAAAAAAAACTGAAAAACTAAATTTTCTCTACAGCGATTTGGCCAGAAAACCTCTCGTCGGCTAGATTTTTTGGGACGAAATCAGATTGTGCATAAAATCCAGTGGAAATATACTCTGTTCAAGATTCGATTTAAGGTAATACATGAGCAAAATTCATCCACGCAGAAACCACCGATTGAGGATCTGAACCGAACAGAAGCAGTTCGGAAAGTGAAGATGAACGAAGGTAATACTATTAATCTTTTGGACTATTGATGCATTTTTTGATGGGTTTTGTAGACTTACTGTATATGCATTTGATTATGCATATCTGTTCACCAAAGTTTAAATTTTTCTTCATATTCAACCATTGGTGTTTTTTTTTTTTTTGGGTTCTGTAGATGTAAGGTATATTCACTCGATTGACGATGTTTGTTCATCAATTTTAGAGTTTTGTTCTTCTATTGGATGTTGTTTTTCTGGAAAATTAGTAGATTTTTGTATTATTCATCAGGTTGGTATAGTTATTCATTGTTGAAATTGTCAGATTCATCGTTTACCATAACTACGTAGTATTATTTTTTTGGTAAATTAGTAGATATTTGTATTATTTATCAGTTTAGTATAATTTATTCATTTGTGAAATTGTCAGATTCATCGTTTACCATAACTATATAGTATTGTTTTTTTAGTAAATTACTAGATCTTTGTATTATTCATCAGTTTGGTATAATTATTCATTGTTGAAATTGTCGGATTCATCGTTTACTATAACTATGTAGCATTGTTTTTTTGGTAAAAAATTCATCATATCTGACAAGTTATTAATGGAATTTGTAAACATATTGTAGCATGAGCGAAAAATATCAGACAAAATCTGAAAGAAGCATGAGCGAAGAACAACAATCAGAAGCCGAAAGAAGCAGGATATCTAAATCCTCAAAAAGACCAAACCACAATAAGTGTAGACATTGATATAGAGGGTTATTCAGCAGTTTTGTAAACTAGTATTATGTTTTTGGTAAATTAGTAGATCTTTGTATTATTCATCTGTTTGGTATAATTATTCCTTGTTGAAATTACCGTATTGATCAGTTTGGTATAATTATTCATTGTTGAAATTGTCGTATTCATCAGTTTGGTATAATTATTTATTGTTGTATATCATCTAACTCATGAATTTTTTACTCCTTGTTTGCTACTTGCAAATTGTTTCCAATATACAACACCAGATTTAGACATTTTTCAATCTTTGAACCTTTTTATTGAAAAAACAATGTTCTAGAATTATAAGCAGCAAAAGCCTCTTTCTCAGAGGTGAAACATCGTCCAATTATTCATCAATAAGAACTCGTTATTCATTAATTAACGTAAGATATTCATCATAAAAACATAATAAGATAATACACCATCGGTCAGAAAACAACAATGAAATTCCTGTTCATCATTAACCATATAATACGCATTACCTTACGCATATATATTCATCAATAAAACGAATACATTCTACATCAATCATCTTTCAATAATTGCATAACATTATTCATTGTCTAAACGTTGGTTATTCATTACTGGGAAAATACACATTGATTCTCCATATTCATAAGCGTCAATGATTAACCATAGTCAATTTTACTAAAATAAAATCCATTGTTATAAAAAAATTATCTCATAAAATAAAATAATATAAAAGCTAACATGATAAGCAAATAAAAAAAATTTGAAATTAATAGAGTGCCAAAAAAAGTGGATAAGATCAGGGAGTTAAATGCCAAAAAAAGGGATAAGATTAGGAGATTAAATGCCAAAAAAAGGGGAGAATAAAATTGGGTGATTAAATGCACGAGTAGACTCCTTTTACCCAGACTCAAAAATTCCAATTTCTTTTTTCTTATGTGTGATTCACGCACTGCCTAGATACACCTGCAAGGTGTATCTAGGATCTTAATATTATTTGCCCTGCACCTAGTACGCCCATAAAGCTTTTAAGTGGAAGCTTTTAAGTGGTTTCATAATAACTGTAACCTCCCTCCTGATCAACCACATGAAACGTACAATATTGGTTCCTTGGTCAAGCATAATTAATCATGGGTCATTCTTTTTTTTTTCCTTTTTTCAATCATGGGTCATTGGTTCACTACAAAACAAAAATAAAATAAATTAAGTACAACTATATATCATATTTTATGGTGATTATTTAACATTCTTCCATCCCGAAATAATTGTTATATTTTAATTTTCACTTTCATTGTAAAATATACTAAAAATAGAAATCCAAACTTAACATTAAGAACAAACAAAGTGGCTGAATGAGTACGTTTTTTTTCTTTTTCTTTTTATCTGTTTAATACATTTTCTTTAATAATAATGATGATGGTAGTACTACGATAGCAGTAGCAGCAGTGGTAGTGAATAGTAATAATGATTTTTTTGTTGCTCCTGGAACTTGGTAGGATTGAATGATCATAACTCCAACTTCAACCCAATCAACAACCCCTACCGTATCACACAAATATAACTCCTCCGATCATCAAACAACAATTACGGGTCCTTTGGCTGAATGATTCAGGATGTATGGATGTCATGGGTTTATAATTATATCTCTGTTCACAAAAAATACTTCCCCTTGTTCCTCTTATACTTTCCCAATATTGATTTTCAAATCTGATTTCCTCACCTACAAATCGAAACCCACAAAGAGTATCAAGTATATAAAGTGAATTCGCAAAGTGTGGTGTCCATAGGGAGTGTACGTAGAAAATTAATTGGATCCGAACCTAGCTTTGTAGGGCACTGGATTCTTTGAAGTGTTGAAGAAAGCAGGTGTGATGAGATCAGCTCAGACGTTTACTGTTGAACCCGCCGAGATTGGAGATTGGAGACTAGATCCGGGTTCGAGTCTGTTGTTCGATGCTTTTTAACAGCTTTCTAGAATTCCTTACTCTCGTTTGCACATAGGTTTCCATAGTTCTGGGGAGATCTGTTGGCTTCGGACAAATTTGAAATATGTTCGAATACTAAGGGTTTTTTCGTGGTGCATGGCCCTTCTAATCTCGCCTCAAAGGTTGAAGATGTTGGTATATTTTCCATCTCGAGCCAGCGGATTCCTGACCCGTCGATCGCAAAGGTGAAGAGCGAAAGGGTGGAAAACGAGGCTATTGTAAATGGGGTTTTATCAATCAAAATGATAATGTTTGAAAGGAAACAATTTTAGTTCAGTAAATATACTTTGACTAGTTTGGAGGTTGTAATTTAAATCTATATATGTAGAAGAAAGTACTAGGTTTTTTTTTTCCCTTTTTCTGTTTCCCCGAGTCACCTGATCTGTTATCAAAGCAAGATGATCACTTGGTGAAATCCCTTTTTTTTTTTTTTTTTTAATTTGTAGCGATAAAACAAGTCA